ACCGCTCGATGTGGTTGTATGTGTAGACTCTTCTCGAAAACAGGGAGGACACACCGCTGTGCGTGGGATGCTACGTGACTGCTGCCGGCAACGTTTGCATTAATCTAGATCACAGCACTATATTAACCCTGATGTCTTTTTATTGGGATACCGCCACAGTTGCCACCGTCGACGAACAATTTTTCTCACTTCTGACGATCGAACGAATCTACTCTTCTCTTCTCTTCTCTTTTCTTTTCTTTATTTTTCTTTTCTTCTCATCTTTCACTCACTTTTTTACAATTTACTTTAACTTTCATACACTCAATGATTTTTGTATAACCTAAATTAATTATTATCAGGAACACTTTTATTCAATGCCAAAAATGATATTTTTCATTGAAACGATTAAAAGAATTTTATATTTAAATCTATGGGGAAAAATCAATCGGGATGGAAGGGTGGGACGTCATAGAATATTCGAACATCGTAACTCGACATTTGAGATGTTTCATATTGTTCTCTCCGTTTAAAAATATAACTCTTGAATCGAAATCAGTTAATTAATTATCGATAAGTATCAATATCGTTTTTATTCCATTGTGAAATGTTATGCATTTGTGTTTTAAATTGTTAAACATCTTGAATTATTTTCAATTGTTAATCATTTATCATAAATGTTTTTAGATCATTTTCTTTTTTACGATCATTTCATAATAGTTTTTGAATGGTCATCGATAATAATAATACGATTTATTTCTACTTCGTATCAATCGATCTTTGAAAATAATCAATGACGTATAATCGAGTCAGTTTTGAAATTTACAATAATAACATACGTATATACGCACACGCGTGTTTTAAAATATTACATATAATATATTATTATTTTTGTATGATTTTTGTAACATTTGATTACATTTCTATACGTTACGAATATGTATTAAGGAAAATAATTACCGCGAAATATAACGAATTAATTGAATAAAAGAACAATGAACTCGATTGACGTTTTTAAATGACCAATACTAGCAAGTAAAAAAGATTTAATGATAGATCGAGTTATTTACGCGTTAACGCGACACAACGTTATCGGCACTTAAGTAGATAAAATGAACGCAAACGTCGAATGGTTGTCGGATCGAAGGCAAATAATTCATTGTCAGGGTGAAGAATCGACAATTCGAAAGGTCCATTAACGTTTTACAGAGATTTCATGTCTCTCTCTTTCTCTCTCATATTCTCATTATATTATCTTTCTCTCTTTTTTTTTTTAAACGATTAGATCGGGGTATAGCTTATCGGTGGATGCATTAATTACCGATCTTCGGGAAGAAATTCAGCGTGGTGTTCGGTCCTCGACAAGTTTTATCGCGAAAATAATAATTTACGAGCTTGAGAAGATCCTTTCTCCCTTTCCCCTCTTAAACAAAAAAAAAAAAAAGAAAAAAAAAAAGAAAAAAAAGAAAGGAAAGGAAAGGACGAGTTACCAGTGCGAGAATTACGGAAGGAAAATATGCAGTAAGGTAGAGATACGTATAATATTCATGCAGAGCTTTTGCTACCTTTCTCGACGTCCGTGTATCGTATCTGATAAATGTCCTACTATCACGATATTTTAAAGTTCACGTATTATACGAATACTATAAAAAAAAAAGAAAATCTTTATTATATTTACGGTAGGTAGGTAGGTAGCCATGATTAACACGCCAACTTATTTCTTTTATTTTTATCCTATGATAATTGTTAAATAATTTCAATCTAATCAAGAATATTAGAAACTCGAAAGCTCATTACCGTAAATATCTAATTCCGTCAATGTTCTCGTTTTTAAGCAAGAACCCATCCACCCCATTCGCGATTTAGATATTTTTATTCGAACCTTTTCTTTTTATAGAAAATGGATAGGGAGAGGTGATCGTGAGTAGGTCTCATAAAGATCATGATTGAGAGAAAACTATATCGAGAGAATTGGTTCGATCATTATTCATGTCGTTAACCGAACGCGTAATTCTTCGTTCCTTTCGTCGTTGGACTCGTCGGGAGGAGTCTCTTTGCAGCTGCCAGAGAACGATGGTGGTTCCAGTTTGGTGGTGTCTCGTGCACAAGTTACAGAAAGAAAAGGAAGAAAGAAAGAAAGAGAGAGAGAGAGAAAGAAAAAGAGAGGATGGTCCAGTCTCTTTCTCTCGTACGTGAGAAATCGCGGTTCCTTTTCTTCTCTCTCTAAAGGAGAGGAGCGCACGTTCTCGCGGTCGTATCCCCCTGGAAGCTCCCTGGAAGCCCCCTGGATCATGGGGAACGTGAACGGGAAAAAGGAGGAAGTGAAGAATAAGAATAAAAAATAAGAAGAAGAAGAAGAAGAGGAGGAGGAGGAGAAAGAGAGAACGAGGAAGCAAGAGGGAAGAAGAGGAACGCAAAAGAAATATGAAGCGGGAGAAAAAAGAAATATGAAAAAGTATAAAAAATAATAATAATAATAATAATAATAATAAAAAAGTAAAACGGAAGAAGAAGAAGAAGAAGAAAAAAAAAAGGAAGAGAAAGAAGGGAAAGAGAAGAGAATCCACGTGCTCCACGGGTGCCGAGTGTGCGAACGCACTGCGAGTGGTCCGAATCCGCGTATATAAAGGATTTCCGACTCTTTGTGGCGAGTGGCAACGGTGGTGTTTAGGCGTTTGGAAATACACTGCCGTGCGCTTAGAATACGCGTCACATTGTATAATAATGTATCGCATATGGCGCATCTTGTAAAACTCTGCGGGCGTTCTTCTAACATCTCCCCTCCCCTCCCTGATTCCCTCTTTCCTCTTTTCCAATACCCCTGCCTGACCCCTACGAATATTCTTACCGTGTACGAATTTATGCGTCTGTGTTATTATTGCGTGTACGTGTGTTGTTAGGTTTTCGTAGACGAAACGGGATGAAAACGTGAATGAGCTTATTCTCGGTTGCTCGGTTGGTTCATTCATTCATTCATTCATTCGTTCATTCATTCATCGGAAGCAACCTGGTAGAGGGAGAGAGAGAGAGAGAGAGAGAGAGAGAGAGAGAGACCTCAAACGGCAAGTCGTCCTACGTGTTTTGTCCGCGTTAAAGAAAACGGAATTTGGTGGTTCCGTCAAAAGCAAAAACCAAGTCGAATGAGCAAAATCGTTTATGGTTTGTTTGCTTTATTCTTAGGGAGGAGGACTTTCTTTAGTAAAATTTTCCTTTTATTTGTCTTCTATTTTTTTCTTCTTCCTCTATCTTCGCGTCCTTCTTTGAAAATTTAGATCAAGATCGAAGAAAGCTTAACGAATCAGAGAAGGCAAAGTTCATGCGAAAACTAGGAATTTACCAAGGATTTACCAAGGGTAAACTAAATACGTGCCATACAAAGGCTACTACTTCGTTGATCGATCAAGACCAGTACGCTTGGGTAGATCCGATTAAACGAAAATACTCGGCTTTACGTGTACTCGAAGCGGAAGAGAATCCAGCAGAGAATAAGAGAAAGAGAGAGAGAGAGAGAGAGAGGGAAGTCTTTGGGTCGTCAATAGGATCATGAAATGACAACAATATGTTTGAAGTCAAGAGACCCTCTAGAAAGGAGAGACCTGTTGGGACTAATCCGTTAGATTAGGTTTTGGGGTTTACGCATGAGGAGTTCCTTTCATAGCTTCCCAGATCAGAAATGTAATAACACTTATGTATCTGATAGATATATGTATCTAATAGAAAAATATGAAATACATATTAAACGTGAATTTACAAATATCTTGAAACGAATATAATATAATATAATAGACCATAGAAATATAGTTTTCTTTTTGTAAAGGAAGAAAAAAAAAAAAAAGAAAAAGAATTATTACGTAAAGTTTAAAGTAAATCATCCGTAGAAAAGGTTTCCTCATTTTTCGAATGACGGGATGACATTATCGAAATATCGTTCTTTGTTAACTCACATAGTCGCATTCTCTCTTTGTTACTTACCGATCTCTCGACATTAACGATCTGGAAGAAGTTTCTTCTGTGGCTTGTGAAATGCGAAACAGGCTTTCGAAAAGAGTTGAAAGAAAAGGGAAAAGGAATGAGAAGATAGTCACGTATTTATGGATGTTGTTGCTGCAGTTGGTGGTGGTGGTGGTGGTGGTGGTGGTAGTTGTGAAGGTGGTTATGGAGGAGGTGGTTGTGGTGGCGGGCCGGATCGGCGTTATAAGATCGGACACGTCTCTATCTAGGCTCTTGGGCAACATACGGCCAAGTTGGGGACGCCAATATATTTGGAAGAAGCGGGGAACGACGAGATAGGTGGTTAGGTAGGTAGCCGTGGTGGATGTCGAGCGAGATAGTCGACCGGCTTCGGTAATGGAGACTGCAGGGTGCCGCTAATGCAGTAGCGATGTCACGGTGCCCGGTGCATTGGTATATTCCTTCCCTTCCGCCGTTTTGCTTTCGCGGCTACTAAGCCGTGTCCTCTCTTCGCCTTCGCGATATCGACGAGAGGCGTACGCGTCTCTTCCTTCTCCTTCTCCTTTTTCTTTTTTTATTCATATTATTTTTTTCCTTTTTTATTTCTGCCTTTCTTCTTCTACCTTTCGCTACATCCTGCCGTGCCTTGCCTTGTCTTGCCTTGCTTTGCCTTGCCAGCAACGATCTCTGGAGGTAGTCTGATATCTCAGCAATATCGGACCTTTGAAAAAGAGGAAAGAGGGTTTAGCACTGGAATGACTTCGTTCGTTCGGGCAAAACTCCTTGATATTTCTCTTTCTTTCTCTCCCTCTCTCTCTCTCTCTTTCAACGTTTTCTTCTATTCTGCTTTTTCTTTCTCCTTCTTCTTCTTCTTTTCTTTCATGAATTTTACTATTATTGCTATTGTTAATTTGATCGTTTGTTATTATAATTATAATAATAATTATTATTATTATTTGCAAGTAATTAAATATTAGCAAAAATATAATAATTCTTGCACCGAGCAAATAGATATTTAGAATGTCTTAAGATAATTTTGAAGAAAATATGTTCCGAATGTCTGTTCGCAGGATGTTCGGGAGCCTGAAGAGGTGCGCGCGATGCCAAGCTGCGATTCTCTCCTCGGAATTGGTGATGCGCGCGCGCGACTTGGTCTTCCACGTGCGTTGCTTTTCCTGTGCGGTGTGCGCGGTCCTCTTGACGAAGGGCGACCACTTTGGGATGAGGGACGGCACGGTTTTGTGTCGGCTGCATTACGAGATAGGTGCGGAACTTCATCCTGCCCAGAGTCCACCGGTTCCTGTTTATCCACCGGGTCCACATTATCCAGGCCAATTTCCGTCTCCCGAATTCCTTCATCATCATCACCACCACCATCATCACCATACGACGGTGGCCGCGGCCGCGGCAGCGGCAGCTGCGGTCGCTGGTCATGGTCCACCTCATCCTCATTCGATGCACCCTCAGCATCCTCACAGTCACATCAGTCCGGTTCCGCTTCAACCCTCGACACCGTCCGTTCCTGATGCCGGTTCACCCCCTAAAGTACCATACTTCAACGGTGCAGCAGCAGCAACAGCAGTCGTACCACCACCGAGGCAAAAGGGACGACCAAGGAAAAGGAAGCCTAAGGATCTCGAGGCTATGACCGCCAGTCTCGGTGAGCTCCCATACGCCTACTCTACTCTTTCTTTTTCATCGAGCTCCATGCAACATTGTAAGATTATAATTCGTTTTTTTTCGTTTACTTTAATATTTTCTATTTCTTACTATTTTCTCTTACTTTAACCAACCCCCTATATTCTTCTTCCGAATGATTCTTCCTCCCATTACTTTTCAAACCGGAAACTCGCGTTTAGATCAAGATCCTTATAAGTACACCAAAATTCCATTCGATTCGTACCATTCGTATACCTAAGTAGTAAGTATGTGAGAACTGAGAACAGGATTTCGATACACGTTCCTCTCTCTCTCTCTCTCTCTCTCTCTCTCTCTCTCTCTCTCTTATTCAATGTAGTAGGGTATCTACTCGCGTAGATCGAGGAAATCGCAGAGAAAGGAACGAAGAAACGAATGTTTCTTCTTCGAAGACAGCGACGAACCCCGACGATCGAGAGAGAGAAATAAAAGGAAAAAGGAAGAGCGAGCCCTTGTTCCGGATACACGAATCCGATTCTCCTTTCCGCGTGATTTATGGGACGCGTGGGCGTGCGCCGTTTGCCACCGAACCCTGATAAAATTTGTCGCTGCAACATAAATTCACGAATCCGAATCCCGAAGGAAGCGCGTACTTGGTGGACGGATTCTCGCGTGGGCAGAGTTCCTCGCGGACACGAGCACCTCCTCCTCCTCCTCCTCGAGAACTTAATTTCGATTGTTGACCGACCGTGGGAACACAACAACTTCGACCGAGTCTCTTTTCTTCTTATCTCTTTTTGTCTTTATACCTCTCATTCTTTCCTACGTGAGAGCACTCTTCTATACTCCTTCTACTATCCATTCTTTTTCTTTTCATTGGAGGAGGTCGACCAATGTCGCCTTGTTTCTCCTTCCCTTCTCCTCTTCCTCCTCCTATTCCTACTGCTCTTCTACCTTCCTGTTCCTCAAGTTCCTCTAGCTAGCCAACTCGTCCTCGATGGAAAAGTATCTTACAGAATTTCTTCCTTTTTTCTACTTCGCAATCAACTTTGACAGGATTTGATTATTATTTTCTTTTAATTTCTCTCTAACTACGTGCATTGTTAATTATCGTTCATATTTTAATCGGTTAATCGCGATTTTATCTAATTGTCATTGAGATAGATGTTTATAGGTATGTAAGTTAGGATCTATCGATCGTTTTAATTGACGCTTATGGTACCTACAGGTAATACGTACATATACCTAAGTTCCATTGGATGTCGAAGATTCTGACTCGTGGCAACAGGGATATCGGATCTCGTAGTAGCTGGATAGGATCGATCAGTCGATGGAGTTATCCCGACATCGACGATCGTTCTGTGTTTCCAAGAGCGAGAAAGAGAAAGATATGTATACATATATATATATATATATATATATATACATACAGAGAGAGAGAGAGAGAGAGAAAGCGATAGGACGAACCGTCGGAAGTGTACGTCGTTTGCCGTTGTTGCCCGCCACGAGTCTATAGCGCTGTTTGATGTGTATCACGGCTCATTAGCTCCTTGAGTGCAAACAAGAAGGGTGATAGCGTATGCGAAAGGCCGCTGGATACACGGCCAATTACAACTCTATGCAGCAAATAGTTCGCAGACACGATACCTCGTTTCACCATGAATATATACCTGCTTAGCTAGCTGGCTAGCTAGCTACCTACCTTCCTACCTATCCACTATAGTCCAATCCCATTCTACCTTTACCATAGGCCTCCCCCTTACCTTTTTCGTCTTACCACTATCCCTGTCTCATCCTATTTACAATCTTTTTAACTTTGGAAAATGTATAATACATTCCTCCCTTAGTAATAATAAAAAAAAAACAAAAAAAATACTATTGGTTATCCTAGGTGGAAATCTAATCAATGCGGATTCAATTTACGTTTTGCAGACTTGAACGCCGACTACATAGACATGCCCTTCGGAAGAGGCGGTCCTGGGACTCCAGGCATACCTGGCTCCAATAGTAGAACAAAACGAATGAGGACAAGTTTCAAGCATCACCAGTTAAGGACGATGAAGAGTTACTTCGCGATCAATCACAATCCCGACGCGAAGGATCTCAAGCAGCTTTCCCAGAAAACTGGCTTGCCAAAAAGGGTACTGCAGGTAAGCTTTAATACCCATTTCTATCTATCTATCTCTATCTCTCTCTCTCTCTCTCTCTTTCTTTCTTTCTTCGATGATGATGATGATGATGATGATGATGATTCCGCGAGCTATCGTTATTCGAACGAACGAACGCACGTACGCACGCATTCATAGAAGAGAAGATAGATCGAGAATCTTTTCTTCTTTCTTTCTCACGTCCCTTTACGGTATTTGAACTTTTATCTTTTCTTTTTTTTTTTTTTTGTTCGAACATTCTTTAACAGCTACTCGTCTTTCTAACATAACGAATAGACTTTTGTTAGATATTTAATATCCAACTGTTACCCTGAATATTTATTAAACTGTTTCAAATCACCTCGAAATAACAATTTCGTAACACGTTTGTAGGAAGGAAGGAAAACAGACGGCGAACGGTTGGAGAATAGTTTATTAAAGAGAAACTTTCTTCCCGATGACTCGTCGTTATCCAACCTCTTTGTAAAAACTTTCACGAAATGTGTTTCCCGCGATTTTATTATAAGAAATTGCGTTTAAAAAAACTTATTTACGGATATTATCCGACAATGAGTCAATTCCCGTTCGTTGCCCTTTTATATCGATCAATGATGATTTTTTTACCGTCGCTTTGAAACGACGTAAAACGAGATTATTTCTTATTATTGTACAATTCACCATTCCCGATGTTGTTGCTTCTCATGTTCAACGAGTATTCTTAACTCGCGAGGAGGGAGAGTTTATCGTACACAATTATATTTATACCTTTCAAAGATTCAAATATTAGACAAATTCTGTACCAACGTTGCAATTAGTTTTTCGTATAAATCTATTTATAAACATCTTACAAGTAAAAAAAAAAATATATTTGTCCGCGAGTGAATCTCGTTTTAAAAAGATGACGCGTAGAAATTCATATCTAACGTATTTCGCCCAAAATTTCATCCACACGAGGTCTCTCCCATCTCTCTCTCTCTCTCTCTCCCTTATCGAAATTTCAAAATAGAACGTTCTATTTATAAGTAACGAAAAATCAACGGTTTTAAAATAAACGGAAGGAAGTGGTCGAAATCTTTGTTCGACGTCCTATCTGTTCAGATAATACCAATCACGTATGTGTACATATATATGTATAGCCGATGATTCGGACGCGTTCTTCTTCCTCGGAATCAAATATTTTTGTCATTTTGAAAAGATCCAAAAAAAGGAACAGAATAAAATACAAAAAATTCCAAATAAATCTTTAAATTAATTTAATCTGCCAACGCGTTTTACTCGTCCAAGCGAGGTTGTAGGAAGGGAGGGAGGCGTGGGCTGTGATGGGCAAGAATAAATTTCGAATGGAAATCAATCGTCGAAAAATTGGAATTTAATCTGGAACGACGATTATAACGAAGCTGACACGCGGAGGTGGGAGGAAGATAAAATGAGGAGACGATGGTGGTAGGTAGCGGGGTTGGGGGGGGGCGGGGTGCGAAGCTCGTCGCACTCGAGTCCGCGTCCGACAAAACTTAGCCGGGGCGTAGATTTTGACTTGCGCCGGATTGACGGAGGGCCATAATTACGGAGAAAGGCCACGGGCTCGTCGACGGAAATATCACGCGGACGCGCGGTTCTTTTAACTCAACGGCAGCCGGTCGGTGCTGCACTAATTGGGAGGAGTGCGAGCACGCGCGCGCGTGAATATTTTTATAGGGCGGCTACCTACCCGCTTCAAAAAGGGCGAACACGAACACGACGAACCACCGACTATCCATCTTCTCGCTCGGTTTTCTCTCTCTTTCTTGCTTACTCACTTACTCACTCACTCACTCACTCACTCAGTCAGTTACTCTCTCTCTCTTTCTTTTTTTTTTCTTTAATACACGCTACGTTCAACGCCAGACGCAAGGATATATTTTTGTAGTTACGCATTGTCGCATGGATATTTGGTAATCTATACTTAGAAAACCCTCGAGGAGTAAATTTATTAAGCGTATCGGGTCTCATTCTCTCGTTCTCTCATTCTTATTCTCTAACTCTACACTCTCTTCTCTCTCTCTCTCTCTCTCTCTCTCCCTCACACTCTCACTCATCACTCTTCTTTTGGAATTCATAGCGCGAGCGTTTGATTAACGCTTTCACGTTCAATTCTTTCTCTATTTCATTTAATAAAGAAAATAAAAGAAAGGAAAATGGAGAAAAAAAGAAAAAAGAAAAAAAAGAAATGAAATGAAAAGGAAAGAGCTTTTTCACTCGTAGGAAGAAGAAGAAGCATCGACGCGATCTCGATATAGTCGTGAAAGGCAGCCGTGCTATTCAAAAGGGCGAAGAAGAGTTTCAAAAGAGAGAAAGAAAGAGAGAGAGAGAACAGTGCGCAAAGGTGTCCTTGAGGCTAAGAGAATGGTAGGAAAAGAAGAGAGAAAGAGAAAATACGGAGTACCTACGATGCTAGAGAGAAAAAGAAAGAAAAAAAGGAAAAGAGAAGGAGAAAGAGAGAGAGAGAGAGAGAGAGAGTCAAGGGTGGACGGGACATGGAAAAAGGAAGAGGTAGAGAAAGAGGAGTTGGAGGGGGAGGAGGGGGAGGAGGCGGCTATTGTATTCGACGTAGCATAGGGTTCTTGGTCGCCATCTTGCTTGATATTGATCGCGAAACGCACGAATACTCGCTCGCGGCTGCGTTCACTATATACACTCTATATAACATATAAAGAGGGAAGGGGATGGGGTGGGGTTCAGAGTGGGTAGAGGAGGAAACGTAGAAACGGGGTTTCTCGTAGCGCGAGTCGAGTGCGCGCGCGCGCGAGAGAAAGAGAAAGAAAGAAAGAGAGAGCCACATAGGGCAGTCCGTCCTTCGAAGGCAAAAGGGGGAGGAGGAAGAGGGAGAGAAAAAAAGAGAGAGAGAGAGAGAGTGATCCTCCTCGTTTCTCCGCTTCTCGTCGACGTCGCAGCAGGCTCCTCCGGTGGCTCTTTCGGTTCGCGGGGGAGGAGACTATCTTGAAAATGGCGACGTGCATCGAGAACACACGGGCCGTCTTTTATCTATCGGCAGAATAAAAGGGATAACACCGGGGTGGGGTAAAGGGGAAAGGGGAAAGAGAGGGTTTCTCTCCCAAACCCTCCTCCTACACTCCTATTCTATTTCTTTCGTTATATATATCATACTTATTATTGTGTCGACTATGTAGTTATATTCTTCTTCAACGTAACTTTGTGTGCCGAGGGTAAAGGAAATTCTTTTTCTCGTCTTCACTAACTTCCACTTCCATATCCTCATTCTCATCTCCTTTCCTTCATTTTTCTTCTTTCATCTCGAGTTTTTCCAACTTGTCAATTGGGTGTGTTTCTCTTTCTTTCTTTATATATTTTGCTGTATAGTAATATATATATATATATATTGTATACGTGATATATATGTATACTTACATGAAATCAATGTACTCAAGGAAAGGCTTAGGTAGAAGACGAAGTATCTTAATATAAAGACATCTTCACATTTAATGGTCGTATTACTCGGCTCGACCTACTTCATAAACCCCTTCTGGAATATCGTACCTCGATAAAGCTCGAAGAAGAGAGAGAGAGAGAGTGAGAGAGAGAAGAGAGAGTTTCGAAGCGAGAATCTGACGCGACGACGACGACGACGACGACGACGACTTTGCGCGGAAATAGAATCTCTCAACGGACTTTGACGAATTTCGTTAGGAACGGAGACACAATGGTGTCTTTGACGGGCCGCGAATCTGCCCTCCCATCCTCCCACCCAACCTCGGCACCTCTCCATCGCGTTATGAACCGAATCGTTTGTGCGGTCATCTCTAACCCGACATAAATCATGTGCTACGCAAATCTTTTTAATTATTTTTATTCTTTTATCATACTCACGCCTTTTTCGACTCCCCCCTCGGCCCCAGCTCCCCGAAACGACAGCAAAGAGAAAGAGAGAGAGAGAGAGAGAGAGAGAGAGAGGGAGAGGAACGACGATGATTATTTGCTTTCGATTAAATGATATTTCTAATTTTTCTTTTTCTTTTAAATTTTAAATATTTTACACACAATCGTTTATATGGAAAATATAAAATAAATAATGCGACTACGTTTGTCGTTTTGATTTGTTTGTTTCCCCCAGGTTTGGTTCCAAAACGCGCGTGCCAAATGGCGACGTATGGTGTTGAAACAAGAAGGAAAATCGGACAAGTGCGATAGCGTTGTCGACGGAAGTTCATTGGGTGATCTCGAACTTTATGGGAACAGCGGCGGAAGTGGTGGTCCACCGATGAGTCCTCCCTTCATGCTTGGTGGTCCTCATAGTCCAGCATCTTTGGCGTCCTTGGATTGCGCGTGATCATCAACGACCATTATTGGAATTTCCACGATAGACGAAGACAATTCGTAAATGATTCAATTTCAAACAAATCAACTATTTCTCCGTGGTTCTTATCCGACTCCTCGACGTTTCCTAAAAGCGATTCCTTGTTTGGTTATGTGTTCTTTTCTTTTTTTTTTTCTTTTTTTTTTTTCCTCCTAAGCTATATATATTTTTGTTGGTTCTCGTCGAGAGAGATGAATCCTTTCGAACGGATTTTTGCCCACGTAAGATTTTTTGTTTTCTTTCTCTTTCAATGAATCGAACGAGAACGAATTATTAACAGCCAATCAACTACCAATAGGGATATTTATCATCGATTTATAGAAATTCTATCGTACGTAATGCCGATTACGAAAACTTAAACGGAGAGATGATGAGAAAGTAGGTAAAGATAATTGAAAATAGTCGAGAAAAATTCCTTGTATTTATTGTAGTCTAATCGGCGAACGTCCGCGAATATTATTTTCTTGTATAGAGAGGAATAGAAGAAGAATAATAATTATAATTATAATAATATTAATAATAAGAGAGAAGAAGAAGAAGAAGATGAAGAAGAAGAGGAAAAAAAAAAAGAGAGAGCTTTGTCTCGCTTAATAATGAAAGAATTATTTCTGAAGGATGCCTAAAAAGAGCCTTCTGCAGAAAGCAATGTAATTAGCTAACGATGTCTATTTATTGGTGTAATCGCTCAGAGGTAATTAAAATGCATTAGCTAAACGATTACGATTTATGACGATGCAGCGAGCTCTGACCATTTTCCCACCCCACGCCCTCGTCCTTTTCCCCCTAGCCCCCTTCGCCTGAAATTCAACGTTTCGATCAAATCATTTCGCTAATTTTATTAAGGGTTATCTTAAATGAAATACTTTTTACTTAACGTTTTTCGTCGATCGAAAGAATTTATAGTAATCGAGTGAGTGTGCTTTTTTCTATAGGTATAGGAAAGGAAAAGAGGAAAAAAATAAATGTAAAAAAAGAAAAAAAAGAAAATAAGAGAAAGAATATAGAAAACAAAAATGAAACGTTGAATTTCTTTAGATGATAATATAACACTCGATATTTATAATAATAATAATAATAATAACAATAATAATAATAATAATAATAATAATAATAATAATAATAATAATAATAATAAAAAGATAAAGGGGAAAAAAAAAGAAAAAACGATTGCGCAATGTTATTGGTTCGAAATAAAACCAAACGAGCGATTAAATCCTTGACGTAATAATCATAATTGTTGTATATAAAGGACGTTCCTCGAGTTCTTCTTAAGGCACCGCTATAGGTTGTAGGGTTATAATTGCATTCGGTAGCGGTCGTGTTTTAGACAACAACGGTAATAATAATGATGACGACGACGACTATTATTATTATTACTTCTATTATTAATATCCTTGTAACGAATGGAACGATTGTCTAATTTTACAAGATGATTTTTTCATTGAATATATTTTGACAATATACGTTGTTTTGTCGATTTTTATTTTCTACGATAACCCAGCTCTAATTGCTACACACTTCCTCTCTCACCTTATGATCGATAACAGCTCAATGTAATCCTTTTTTTTTTTTTTTTTTTTTCTTATTCGAGGTCAGGAGAATGTTCTTCGGACGTTGGTTATCAATATCTTTTTTACGATCTATTTGCTGGCTTTTCATTATATATGCCGTTTACTCGACGTAAGTATATATTTATTACTTTTAAAACTCGATCGTGTGTCTCGGGAACGAGAGAGAGAGAGAGAGAGAGAGAGAGAGGTAAGTCTATTTTATTACGTTCTCGGACATAAGTAGATAGGAAAAAAAATTCATGAATTTTCGAACGAACGTCAATGATGCAAAACCGAATGAGACATAAAACCAAGCAGATCTTTTTTTCCTTTCTTGGTCTTTTTGTTTTCTTTTTCTGTCCCCACACCTATTAAAACGTATACACGTTCACAATTTTCCGTTCTTTTATTTTCATCTGATCGCTTTAAACCATTAGATTTTCGATCGTTAATAAAAGTGAACGTGTGTTTAAAAAAAAAAAAAAAAAAGAAAAATATTTTAATCTTTCCGTGACTAATTGATTTTTGCAATGAATAATGAAAAATCGAATATGAGATCCGTGAATATTATAAGATATAAAATAATCTAAGATTTACAAAGTGATAGATCCGTGTATGTGCGGGAAATATAAATGAGTATGTTATATATATATATAGACACATACACACACACACACACGAATGTGACTATTTTCGAGGATAACTCTCGTAGATTTGTACGTTTATTCGCTCAAGCACAGAAGCATAGTACCGATTTAACGGCTCGATTATGCGAAGCTATGAAACGCGATGCACCTAGCAGACCGCTGGTTGGACATTAAAATTGAAATTATAAGCTGCCGCGGCAGATCGAATTATGCAAGAGTACATAACCGTCTACGTGTAAATTTTCTTTTCCCTCTTGCGTACATAACATTTGCCCGCCCATAAAAGTCCTCATTAGTTATCCGTTTATCTCCTTGCTTACTCGTACTCGTTTTCTTATCCTTTTCCTTTCTCTCCCCCTTTCTCATCCACTTCCTCCTCTTCCTCCTCTTCTTTTTAATAATATTTGCACTCGGTAAAATATATATTTTTAATTTTTTATTCCTAACTATTCTAAAATATTCCTTTAACTGATCCCTGTTTTCTTATATTTTTCTCAAATGTAAGATTTTAAACTCGTATAACTTTCGATTTCAATTGGGGGTTTAATTTCTGTCTTTCTTTCATTCTTTTCTTTTCTTGTTTTTTTCTTTTATAAATAATAAACAAGGAATACTTTTCCGGCGGAAAGAAGAGTCCTATTCCGTTTACGGTAAAATGGAAGATATATTATCTATACACTTGTCTCTTCTTATTTTCCATCTCTTTCCTTTCTCTACTTCTTTTCCCACTCGTGGCCCATGCAATATGCATCGAGTAGAAGAAGAAGGAAGGAAGGAAGGGCTTTGCGTGGTCGTTCTAATGCATGACGTACAACACCGTGATACGATTTCTAGTCGAGATTATTTTTTGAATTCTAAGACGTTGCAAAACGGAATTGTGAATGAAACGTAAGATAAAGAATAATACCGAAAGAAAAACAAGAAAATATAACGTAACCGAAGAATCAAGTATCCTTAGTTTTAAAAAGAATTTTATTATGTGAATATTCTTCGGTGAAGATATTTAATATCTATCTTTTTTTGTTTCTTTCTCATAAGTTACTAGAATATTCATAAATTACTAGACAAAAAAATGTCTTCTCCTCGAAATAAAAATCAAACGAATGTTCAATAATTTTCATCTTTTCCTTACGTGAAAACATTACACTTTGTTTTATTATCTTATTAATCCAGGAATTGTTAATGTCCTTTAGTTACGTCATAATCATCACATATCGTGGTCATTTATAAATCAATAAAAAAAAGATAATCGCTTTAGTGTTTGGTTGGAAAACGATAAAGGTAGATCGAACGAGGATTCGGTTCACATTTGACGAGCGTTCATTTTCGAAACCGATGAGGCGTGATCGAGGATATCGAAAAGATTCCTAGATCTTTCCGTTGATGTCAAGTTATCCAGTGTTCTCCGACCGGTTCGAAAAAGGATCGAGATGTCGATAACACGGATGATCGATGCCGAAGCTTCGTGAAGACAAGGGAAGAGAACCTTTCGATAGACAACGGCGAGACCGTTGTCGCTTCTTGCCGACGTCTCATTTACTTCGTCAAATAAAACACGACTTCCTTTCCTCGGTTTTAATCGATTAAAATTCTCAACTAATCTTACTTAAAATTATTTATTCGAATATCTCAAATATAGATATATATATTAGGTTGACAAGCATGAAATTTGTAATGCATTGTATTGTCACTTTTGGTTTCTTTCTTTTTTTTTTTTTTCTAAATTTCACGACCTAATAATTAAGATATCGGGATTTTTTTTAACGATAGATTAATATTACTCTATCGAAAATTTACGACTAGGACAGATTATTCCTATACCCAATAGTGGAAATCGTTAAATTCATAATGCACTCATTGTCCATCGACAGTTCCCGTTAGTTACGATAATGAGAATCTTTGAGATGACTTAATGCACAAACATCAGAAATTACGATGTGTGTTTAATAAAAAGGAAACGTGTATAATCGAGTTATGTGATTCTTGTTGGTATTGAAAAAAAATATGCCGGTCTGATACGATTATATGAAGAAAAGTCGCATAAATATAGATAACGAACGCATGATTGTGAGAAAAAGAAAATATAGATAACGATAAATTACGATGTCTGCGTCTTTTAATAGATTCATTCCGTTCTTCGATTATTTAATATATCTCAAGATGAGATATACAATTAATATTTATACGTACGTATAAGGGTTAAAATTGTAAAAATTTAATTATATTAAGAAAGCGAACAATGATAAAAATAATAAACGAGTAACGGAAATTAATTGACGCGATTGATCGAATCGGTGATAATATCCTAGTTCTATATTTAAGAATAAAATAAAAGCAAAAGAGAAATAGATTTTTGTATTTTCCCCCTTATTTTCACGTTCGTCTATCGAAAATTCCACCTGAGGATTTTCTAGTACCTTCGTTCTCTCTCAAATCCCTTTGCCTGGTTGCATTTCTCTCGAGTTTACGACTCGTGGATTCCACATCTCTTTCTTTCTTTCTTTTTTTTTTTCACTTTTTTTTTTTTTCTTTTTCTCTCTTATTCCATCCCTCTCTCGTTTTTACGTTTGCTTCGCAGTCGTATCAGAGGAGGAAGCTTTTTCTCGCGAATACTCTCCGCGGTACTCGCGCAACCCTTATCCGAAGACCTTTAACGCCCTGGATCGAGTTCACGCTCGAATACCATCCGACAAGGAAATATGAGAGACTCCTCGATGTGTTCCTCTCATTTTTTTCCCTACCCTTCCCATTTTCTTTTTTTCTTTTTCTTCATTTTTTTTTTTCTTTTTTTTTTCTTCCTCTTCCATCGCTCGTGATTTCACCAACGGTACGACATTGAATACTTCCAAGATGGAAGATACGACTCATTGAAATTTTTCTTCTATATAAGACGATCCATGGAATATCGAGTACATTTTTTTTCCATACGAATAATATAATATAGTGCAATAAGATATTATGTCGGATATAAAACATATGACATCTATTATTATTTTTGGGTATGAAAATGTAATTGGAAAAAAATATAAAATATTTGTTGTTCTTATTTATTTATTTTTATATTTGTTAACTTTCATACGCGGAAACATCTTTTAAAAAATATCAATTGTCATCTCTCAAATCGAAGATTTAATATCTCTCTTCTATGGTATAAAAATCTTGTTGTAAGAAAAAATATAAAATAAGATAAACTCTTCCTTATTTATTCACATTTTCATCTTTATACTTTGATATCCAATCATTAAACTTAATATCATCCAAATATATATAATCTCAATTTCCAAGTGTTTCCATAATAATCAAAAACAGTAACATCCACCAATCTAAA